CCGCGTTAATAAGTGGCGCATAAAATAACCAGTGTTGTAAGTTCATGTTTATTTCAAAAGATTTAAAACACTGTTTAACATTAAAATGTCCAAAATCACACTATACACACACAAACATTCATGTACACAAATATATAATATAATATGTGGGGCCCACCTCGTACGTGTACCCAACCCTTACTCCGACCCCTAACTCCCCATCTCCCTACCCCCTACCCCCAATTCCAAACCATACCCCTTGACCCCTACCCCCACCACGACTTACCCCTACCTCTACTCCCCCACCAGCATACCCCTTCCCCTAACCCCTACCCATACCAGCCCGTACGTATCCCTGACCCTTGTACCCCTAACCCCCCTCCCTTACCCCCTACCTCATACTTGTACCCTTACCTCTCCCCCTACCTTGACCAGTATGCTCGTACCCCTACCCTTAGGGTCAAGGTAAGGGTAAGGTAGGTAGGGGTAGGGCCGGTGAGGGGTAGGTAGGGGTGAGTAGCGTATAAGGGGTATGGTCGTGGTAGGGGTAAGGTCATAGTAGGGGTATGGGTAATGGTTAAGGCGGGATAAGGGGTAGGTGGTATGAGGCAGGGGGTAACAGAGGGAAGTGAAAGGGGGGCAAGGTAGCGCAGGTCTGGGGACGGGTAGGGGTAAGGGATAATGGACGGGGTGGTAAGGGGCCGGGTAGGGGTGGGTTGTGGCAGGATACACGTTGTGGGTAGGGACGGGGCACAAGAGGGTAGCTGTATGGACTATGGAGGGTAGGGAAAGGGGCACGTGTACGGGTAAGGGGTGGGGTCGGTCGGGGTGGGGGTCGGGGTAAGGTAGGGTAGGGTAGGATAGGGGTACGCAGTAGGGGTAAGAGCATGGGGTAAGGGTAAGAGTAAATATAGAAACCGAAAAAGGTTAAAGCGTCGCTTAATTAATACACGAGGGGTATACTTACTAAGCGGCACACTAATCACCTCGTTCGATTAGGAATCAACTTTTAAGAAGCTTGCGTGTTTAATTCACACGTCTTACTGACCTAACTGTGACTTTAGCAACGAAGTAAACATGTCCTTAATGTGTATCTCATGTGGATAAACAATACTCCGTACTTTGTTTTTAATAAATGACATTTGACAAAATTTGCTTTCAGGCAAAAGAGTAGCATTGAAAATGCTCTAAAGACATCTGACATCCTTAAAGGCTTAAATAAAGATTATCTCCAATGCAAATATGTGAACGGTGCGGTGCACACATGATGATATATACAGACAAAAAAATTAATAGAAAGTCTCCCTCTTTCTTTCTACGGCATAATACATTTTAGTTACTTTTTATTAATATGTGCTTGACGTTATGAATAAAAAAAACTAGTCAGGAGTAATATTTACTACCGGTGAAAAGAATGTGAACAAATTTCTATTAATTGTTTTTTTAATATCTATATATCTCGTTTGACACTTTTATACGGAATATTAGAGAAGTTCCAATACAAAAGCATTCGACACTTTGTACACCCATTTATCACTTTGATTACAAATAACAAATTAGAACAATTTTATTGTACACAAATTTTGTACACATTTAACACTTTTTTGTACATAATTGTCTGTAAGTCTGCACGAGCTGTCCCGCATGTCCGTGTACACAAATAACTAGGCCATGTATATTTTGTTGGTTGGTGCAGCTGGTTCTATGTCTGGTTGCCATTTTCTAATCCACCTGATTATATTGTTTCTGCTTTAGACTATGATTTGATTAATGAAAGTTGATTTTATTTCTTGCAAAAAAAACTAGGACATGTATATATTATCTGTGTGCACAAACACTCCTGTACAAATGTGTGCGAAATGTGTATAAATTTTATAAACAAATACCATTTTTTCCTCCAAATTATAGCATAACGACTCTATCCTGGGATTACTGGCTCATTAGGATGTTTTTACTTGGACTGTAATTTGATGGTCTGATCTGGTTTGATCTGTTTAAGTTTGATTTGGTCCGGTCTGTTTAAATTTTGTCTGGTCAGGTCTGGTATATTTATGTCTGGGTCGATCTGATCTGAACAGTTCTGATATGATCTAATAAACGTCCGGTCTCTATGTATTTTATAACTACGAAAGTCAAGTCTGGTCTGGTTTATTTAAGTCAGATCTGGTTTGGTCTGATCTGTTTAAGTCTGATCTGATTTATTTAAATCCGATTTGATTTGTTTAGGTCGGGTCCTATCTAGAACTCAAAAGTCAAAACCATCAAAGTAAAAAGTAAAAACATCTCCTCTGCCCGAAGCCGGAGATTTAATCAATGCTTGTTCTTCCAAAAAAATAGGGATAAGGGTCAGATAGGGCCTCGAACTTGGAAAAAAATGTCAAATAAGGCCATATTTAGGATGCTATGTCCGGCTGACGCCATTTGGGGCGGTTCCCGGTGGAATTTTTTGATGATTTTTTTTGAGAATCTTATTCATTAAGTCTAGTTTACTCATATCAAATTTGAACTAACAATTCAATCGGGAAAGCATTCAAATGAATTTTTGAAGATAAGTGTGCTTTTAACTGCACAGTTATCTTCAAGAATTCATTTGAATGCCTTCCCGATTGAAGTTTTAGTTCAAATTTGATATGAGTAAACTAGACTTAATGAATAAAATTCTCAAAAAATTTCATCAAAAAATTCCACCGGGAACTGCCCCAAATGGCGTCGGCCGGACAGAGCATCCTAAATATGGCCTTATTTGACATTTTTTTTCAAGTTCTAGGCCTGACCCTTATCCCAAAAAAATACGTTTTCATTTCTCTCGCCTCTCCTCTGCCCGGAATCCCCACGCCGCCGCCGGCGACTTCTCATGGACGTATATGTATTCATACCGGTCTCTGGGGTGCTGTATGTTATTGACCGCATATGATTTCTTTTGCGTGCATTTATTGATGCTGAGATTGTATGATTGTTATGTGTCATCCATTAATTGCTCTCCACTTGAATGTACTGTACCTTTACCGCTTTCTCTCTCTGAAATTTGTATATGTTTTTTTCGTCTTTATATTCGTATAGCAGGTGCATATAATCAATGCCTATTTGCTGTTTTGCAGGCGGGCGGGTATTAAATACGAATCCTCACTCACAAACAGTGATTTGCGCCTAGAGATGGTCGAAGTTCGATGCGGCCAAGATTGCCCAGTCGCTATCTCCATTTATAGCACAAAAGCATTAATTCTTAGATTATTATCTCATTGCATTGAAAAAATAAATGCTCCGTTCCATTATAATGGCTTCCTATTCATCTGGACTATGCATTTAAAGTAAAGGAAAAAGCTTTTCTGCTATTTAATACTGCTCATAGTCTGTTATCTTTAATTGGATCTTCTTCACCTATGTCTGATGAGTTTATCTGTTTTTAGTTTTTCTAGGATGTAAATTTGCTCATCTACATGTATTTTGAGAATTCATGAAATGGTAGGGTTCTGTTCACTCACATAGTCTTAGGTCCTGAAACTTTCACTAGAGAGTTGTAGAGAATAGATTGACTAATGTGAAAACTGAACTTTTTAATAGAATTGGTCCTTTGCCACATTTGTTTTTGCACGCCCAGGCATAGAAAATGAGCATAAGAGTTGCTGGCATAGGAAACTACTGCGAGAGAATTCCCACTAAAACTAAGATAAAGTTCATAGATAAGACTATCAATGTTTTATTCCCATGAAGGGACTCATTCACTCCAATTTTGGGAAATTTTAATTATGCTATTCTTTTCATAGGACTTAATAAGTCCTATTTGAGGAATAAAACATACTTAGTCTTATTTTTGAACTTTGTATATGTTTTGATCCTATATTGAGCAAATTCTAAACTACTAAGTAGGTTAGGTTTTACACCAGAGAATTCTGGTCAGTATCACTTTGACCATGGCAAGATGAGAAATGGTATAAATGTATAAATGTATAATATAGCCAAAAACACATATCTAAGCACCCAAATTTGATAGGTTAGCCCTATTGAGACTCTCAACTCCTAATTCCACATAACGAGAGTGCTAGAGACTCATTAAGGCTTATGCAGTACTTTTACATCTTATTTTAAGTTGTCTTTAACGCGTGATTATAGATGTCACCTAGCTAATTAGCTATGACCTGGTGAAAGAACTAAATATAAGAGGATTTTTGTGTGTTTCTAATTAGGATCACTTATGTGATCACCTCATCACCTAATGCTTGTGATGTCTTGCATTGATGAAATTTTCGACTGAGGTGCATCAAAAGAAGTGTTCACTGGAACTTAAGTTAGCTTTGTGTGTGCTAAGTAGGCGCAATTAGAGGTCGAGGGGCTCAATAGGACTAACATTCCTGGTTAATGAGATAAAAACGAGTTTTACCTTATCAAAGCACAAAGCTGTAGTTGAAAATAGAAACGAATTCACGGATGTTAAATACACTTCAGAGCTACTGGATTTATAATGGCTGGAAGTGAAACGGGGCATGATTGTGTAGGCAAATAGATGTCATATTGTTAAGGTAATGTTAAATGGGCAGAATCCATAACATATTAAACATCAGTTTAGAAACATATACGGAGTAAGATTCATAACCCACATAATTTCACACACTTGTCCCTTCTAGCCATGTTTTATTGTATTACTCTTATATTATAAATACGAATGGAGAGTTATATTGCATATATCATATCCTAACTAGTTCCGGATTAAGGCTAGTTGGGGCCTTGGGGGTACATATATAAAAGTGCAATTGTTTGAATTTCATATTCACTCACATGGCCTGAGACGTGTATATAGGGCCATTAATACATCATACCATGGCAATAAATGCTTATCCAGCACAGGAATTGTCGGTCGTATTTCTGCTTCTATATTATCTACTAGAAGAAGGTAGGAGTGGGTACTATTTCTACCTGACATGTCAACTACGCTGTGTTTGACTCTCTCTTTTTCACCCTGTCTTTCCGAAGACTAATTTTAAAGCATAAAGCCTGCTTCTTAGTTAATCACCATTTAAAAGTCAATTTAGAGAGGGAGAGTAAGAGAACGAGAGAGAGAAGGGGAAGTGGAAATGGGGAGAGCACCCTGCTGTGACAAGAAGGGGTTGAAGAAGGGGCCATGGACGCCTGAAGAAGATGAAATGCTTATTGAATACATCAAGAAAAATGGGCAGGGTAACTGGCGTTCCCTTCCCAAGCTAGCAGGTCTTCTCTTTTATCTATTTTTTTTTCTGTTGCCTTGGGTTCTCTGTTCTGTTCTGTTTTTTTTTAAATCCAAGCATTTTTTATACCCCTCAGTTTCCATATTGTTTGTTAAGAAAACTAAAAATCTGTGTATTGTTATCCACGTATGACTACCATATAGAATCTTTCATTAATAGAAAAGTGTAGCAGCTTGGAACTTTGGTTTGTAGTTATGTGACAGATGAGAAACGTATCTTGCATGATTAGAAACACATTGAAGTGATAAGCTTCTTTTTACATATCCAGAATCTAGGGGTGTTTGGAACTTATTCTGCTTCCGCTTCTTTTTTAAAAGCAGAAGCAGAATCAGAATCAGTTTTCAGAAGCTGGTACCCCCCAGCTTCTAAAAAAACTTATTCTGAGAGTAAATTAGAGCTCCAGAAGTGCTTCTGGAATTTCATCCAAACACTCCAGCTTCTGCTTCTGCTCCCTGAAGGAGCAGAATAAGTTTTGAGAATCAGATCCAAACACCCCCCAAATACGAAGTATTTGCTCTCAAGGTAGTGATTAAGCAGTGATTATAGCAAAGTTTCTGCTTGCATGTGTCAAGTTCCAACAAGTAACAGTTCACTTAAACAGATTACCTAAAAGGTGAATAGTTTTGGTTAATATTGAAGGTTTTTTCTTTCTGTGTGTTTGTTTATATTTTTTCTTTATTTAATTAATAACCTACATATTTTCCCTTGTTTACAAATATTGGCAGAAATTTTCAATCATTTCCAATGGAGACAAAGACTCAATTTTTTGGCTTGGGAATATGATGGAATAAACCAAAATGACTCACTAAACTGTCTGAGCTTCTTTGTTATGAAGCAACAGTTAGTCCATGTAATTTTCGACGCGATTTTCACTATGGGTCATCCTGAAACAGTCTCTCTGGGCTTTAGTTCAGGGGTAAGAATGTGTACATCTGACCCCCCACCCCACCGTAGGTGGGAGCCTTTGCGGCACTTGGTAATGATGATGATGACGATGATAGACAAATATTGACAGAAAAAATGACTAGATCTAAGTGCTATGCTATAAATAATTAAATATAAGAATGTACTACCCCCGTCCCATATTAAACTTCCAATTGCGGGTTACGAAGTTTGACCAGCGATAAAGTTAAATGATCCATGTGAAAATTCGGATTATTTTTAGAAAATAAAATTTACATATTCAGAAACTACATCAAACCCGCTACAAAGTCTGCAAAAAATAATTCACTTTTTATAAAATTTTGATACATAAAGTAAGAGTTTAAGTGTGATTTAAGTTGACCCTCGAAAAGCGAAATGGAAGTTTATTTAGGGACGGAGGGAGTATCAACCTTTTGCTTTGTTTCTCTCTCTTCCTTGGATGCCTTTAGAGACGTCTTTAATTTCCTATAGGTAAATTATAGATGCGGGGAGTGAGGGGGGTTAGGGTCAGGGTATGTTTGGAGGTAGAGTATTTGAGGGGCAGGAGTTTGGAGGGCCTAGCCTGTAAAAAAAGGACAAATAGGTGCACATTGGTGTCCCCACAAGTCAAGTGTCTGGGAAGGGTCTGGGGTCCCACCACAAGGGTGTATAATGAGTAAGTCTTCCCTTGTCATTTTGACAAGATTTGAACCTGTGACCTCACTGTCGAAATCGGAAATCACACAGCAACACCGCAACCAGTGTGCCGAAAATCCCCTTCAATAGTATGTTTCTAAAACCAAATTTAGGGTGTATGACACACTGTTTTATAACTGATCAAGTTTTTCATGTTATTCCTTCAATTTTTGTAAATCCTCAATTAAGAATTGATTCCACTTTCGATCTCAAACATTCTGTTTTTTCTGCTTTTGTTCTCACTCATAGTTTTTTTGTGTCATTGTTGCTACTTATAACTTACTGTCTTTGAATTGTAACCACTTATCTAGTCAATTTCTTATTGTTTTTTACAAGAAAGGTGGTCAGAAGGACTATACGTCATACTAAGGTTATAGTCGTGGGATCAAAACTCAAAAGTGAAAAAATGAACCTTGAGAAAAGTGGAATTGATTCCTCAATTTATTCCCAATGGCCCTTGGAAAAAGTTCATGAAAGCTAAAAAAATAAAATCACCTTTGAAGTGTACAAGTAAAGGTGCCTCAAATTCATCTCACTCCAATGGAATTTCTTTTCAAAACCTGTCATTTCCCTAAAACTTTTTCCTGACCCTACCTCTACCTATATAAAAAATCATTTTCTATAGAGAAATAGAGTATTAGAGTAAACACACTTAATCTCACAGCATTCCAAAGGCTCATCATAAATAGTTTAAGATCAAGTCCGTGTTCAGATTTGCCGTTTTTCTGCATGGATTCATCCCATTTCTATTATAGCATATGTATGTTTAGCATAGACTCTACATTCCTTTGTTTGAAAACGGTCATTTGCTCTCTCTATTTGCCTATTCCCTGGCATGGGTTTGTAATTTTCTTTCTACTAGAAAGAACTTTTTATCACATGAAGGTCTTCTTCGTTGTGGGAAAAGCTGCCGCCTAAGATGGACGAATTACCTCAGGCCGGACATCAAAAGAGGCCCATTTACCTCGGAGGAAAAGGAGCTTGTTGTGCATTTACACGGTCTTCTTGGAAACAGGTTTTCCTTTTTTTTTGTTCTCCTTCAAAATCGCCCCCTTAAATTTTAGCAGACACCATTTATTTAGTGATGATGACACTATAACAACCCACTTTGTTCCCTAGGTGGGCTGCAATCGCCTGCCACTTACCTGGGAGGACAGACAATGAGATCAAGAACTTGTGGAACACCCACCTGAAGAAGCACATGCTTACGAGGCAACCTGGAACCCCCTCTGCTCGCCACATGGTGCAGTGGGAGAGTGCCAGGGTCGAAGCTGAGGCCCGACTCTCGAAGGAACCATCAGAGCTTTTGGTTCCATCACAGTCTGTGGGGCCCGCAACAGACTTCTTCATGCGGCTGTGGAATTCAGAGATTGGAGAGTCGTTTAGGAAGCTCAGCACAAGGGAGAAAGTTGCTGATGATAATGGAAGTCTGGCATGTGAGACCTCTTCTTCATCAATGAAAGGAGGCAGCGGGTTGGAAGAAATGACTTGGACCGATGAGTTGGAAGATTCGTCTGAATTGGCAATACATCTTCTTTTGGATTTCCCTGCATATGATGATGACATGAGCTTCTTTGAAGTTTGAATTATTCGTCTGGAGAAGTTAGTGTTTTCGCCTCTCCCTATAGTGAAAGAGAGACTTCCAAATCCTGAGCTGGTTGTTTGTGTTTTAGTTTGGCTCCAGCCTGCATCAATAGCTTTTTTGCATCTCTTCTTTGTCAAGTACTCTTGATGATGCTTGAGCACAAGACATCATCATGTTGTTATGGTAACAGTACAAGTCATTGTCTTATGTTTTCAGTGTCCCAAGCGTCTTGACCAATTTTCCACATTAAACCACGGTTTAAATTTTTAGTTCGAACCGCATCGCCAGTCTACACAGTTTGGTTTTAGTTTTCTATCAAAACTGTACCCGACATGGTGGCCTTTAATCTAAACATCTGCTATCTGTAATAAACCGCACCAGGTGTGATATTCATATCTAGACCTTTACTTATGTCCAATTATGTTTTTGGTGTATTCAGTATTTCTCAATATGTTTCTTACAACTGTTTGTATCAATTTTAGCCTTCTAGGATTACAAATTCAGGTGGCTCCATTTAAGTGCAGAAATACAGCATTTGGTAAACAAAGATCAAATTTTATAAAGCATGTACTCCGTATACTTTTCATTTATGGGTTTGCCTCGAAAGAGTGTCTTTCGGTATGGATTTAAAATATACGACTATATATTGTTCATTTATGGGGTTTGTCTTTTGAGAGTAAGGCTTGAATGTTGTTGTGCTTGATTATATATTTACATATTAAATCTTGAACTTTAAATAAATTAAGCAAAAGCAGATATTGCACCAAGCTGCATCACATTACCGAGTGCCTATATTGTACAACCGGATGTATGTACATCCGGTCCAATTAGGAAGACAGCCCAATAAGCAGTACATACCATTTTTTTTCGGTGACACTTTTGTAATTTAAATGAAAAATCACGGCTTATGCTAAATGAGCAATATTGTACGTTTGGTGAGCATCTGACCTATTTTATTGAGCATTAGGAGACTCACAATGAGTATAACGATTTCTGCTTCATATCTTCTCTTTTTTTTCTTTTTCAATTATTTTCTTTTATAAAAACTTATTAAATTATATCTATTATCTACTCCTATTAATTTAAATTTGCGATTCTAATGTAATATGATACTTTTGAAATATGCATTGATATGACATTTAAAAAATGAGCATAACATTAGTACCAAATGAGCATTCACAACTTACAAAGTGCACATTCATATGAAAAACATAAGGTTTGTTAGTTGAACATCACAACATTTTAACTAAGCATCAAACATTCGTTATTGAGATGAAAATCATGGTTTCTGGTGAATGAGCATTAATAAACTTTTAATGAACATCAGAACAATTATGTTGAGTATAGGAGTCTGATATTAGGAATCGTGATATTGGATTTATAACTTCTAATTCACTTTCTTTTTGTTATTTTTTCTTTTATAAAAAATTATATCTAATGTAATATGTGAATTAGATATCAATATGAATTTATATAATCAACTCTTATGAATTTCAATGTGCGAATCTAATGTAATATGGTAGTTTTGAAATATGCATTAATATGACATTTTTAAAAATGAGCATAACATGAGTACCAATTAAGTATATGTAACTTACAAATGAGCATTGATATGAAACTCATAAGTTTTTTGTTGAGCATCTCAACAATTTTGTTGAGCATCAAACTTTCTATATTGAGTAATAGAAACATGCAAAATGAACACAAAATCGTTACAAAATGAGTATACATAACTTACAAAATGAGTACAAAATGAACATACATAACTTACAAAACTTATTTGAAAATTTTAATGTACTCACACATTCATCTCTATATGCTCATTTCTTCTTAAAATGAAAAGGAGGAAGATCAGGAATAATAATTTCTTAAATCTTAATTCCGATTCAATAAATACTAGCTACATAAATTAATTGGTTCTCGTACTTCTTCTATTCAAGTTCATAGGGAATCGTCCAAGCCCATGGCTACCGGCCCGCCTGGAAAGAAACCTCTCCACCCCCAAACAATCATATCAGCAGTTACTACGATAGGCTCAAGCTACACCAGCCGCTTCCGTCTCCTGCTTTCTCATCCTTCAATGGACGATAATCTCACTTGAAATTCAGTTTAATTTCAAAAATACCCGGCTGTACGGTCCTACAACCGGGTGTACGGTATATTTTACCCACATTACTGACACCTGTAGGTAAAGACGAAAATGGTAACTTTTACTGCTCATTTGCGATCCCCGTCATTGTTTAGAGAAGCTCAGGCCCGGCACGGTTATATCCTGGTCTAGGCAGATTCTGGGTACCGAGCGATTTGCTACTAATTCTAAATTTTAATTCACACATCGACTCTAAATTTTAATTTTAAATAATCTAAATTTTGAATACTTCAGATGAACCTATAAATCGAGTACTCTATAACCGTTTACATAAGCTTAATCTCATACCCCGAATGGTTCGAGACATTCAACATATATACACATCTCTAAAGTTTGTAATATTTGGTAAATCTTTTATATCAAATAATCAAGGCAAAAGCATTTGTGTATACAAAGAACGAAACCGGGAAATACACATCACATGTAGAATAAAACACGACACTAAAACACACATGCATCAACATACATACATACAAACAAGAAACATGCAAATTCACAGCAAATAAACTAATATTTAAAATAAATTTGAAGCAGCAGCCGATTCGGGTCAGCCTAGGCAGCCAAGCAAGGCCTTCTTAGGGACCTGCCCGCTTGCCCGGAGCTTTGCAGCCGCCTCTTCAATTTTTAAGATCTCTTGGTTCCGTTTGGAAACGGCCACACTTCTCTTCTCTTCTGCTTCCTTATGAACCAAAGCTGCTTTGTTCTTCATCTTCTCCGCGTATTCTGCTTTCTTCTTCTCCAGCTCTTCCTGCATGCCAAAGTGCCCACCACCATTAGCAATATAATCTCCCAAATTTTGAATTTTGGATTGTGGAATGTCCGCAAGACAATTGTTCATTTTAAAATTTTCTGTAAAACTTCCATCCCAAATTTAACTTCAAACTAATGCAACTCCACATGTCTCAAAATCACAACTCTTAGCTTTACCTTTATTGGGCTTACATAAAATTGTTTTTGCAAGTTCAATCATGTAACGGTCAAAATAATATTAAAATTACTTGTGACTGAACTGAACAAAATCTGACTCGAATTGCTCAAGATGCTGACTATTTCAACTATTTTTTTCATATAATTTTTTCTTCATTTTATTAAAAAATAAGTTTTAAGTATAATTTCCAACACTTAATCAGATTCAACCAACCAACTATATTGTTACCAAATGGACTCTAGTGCCAAGATGTAGTTTCATATGTTCCAAAGCTAGGTCTAATTTGAACTTGGTTGGCTCTATAGGGCCAACATTTAAGTCTCCCTTGGAATGTGTTCAACTCATTTGTCTACTACCCGAGATTGTTCCGTCTGATTTGGACTTGAGAAACATTTTACCGAAATATGTCTCACAAGATTAAGGGGTGTTTAGATCTGATTCAAAACTGTTTCTGCTCTTTCAGAAGCAGAAGCAGAAGCAAAAGTTGAAGTGTTCGGGTAAAAGTGCAGAAGTGATTCTGGTGCTCTAATTTACTCCTATAATTGCTCTAATTTACTCCTGTAATTAGTTTTTAGAAGTTGGGGGAGAAACTGATTCTGATTCTGCTCTTAAAAAATTAGCAGAAACAGAACCAGTTCCAAACACCCTCTAAAATAATAAACCAATATGTAAGGTCTAGGACATTTCTCTCTCTGGTCAATTTTGCCCTTTGTCCCCTCCAATAAGTCAATAACATGGGGTCATTTATTACTCCGTATAAGCTAATTAATAAGCTCCCAAATGCCTTGTAGAGGTGGGAGATTCAATCTTTTGGAACATTAATAAGCTAATTAAAGTTGAGAACTATTCAATTCTAGCTAGGGTATAAATAGGGTTGGGCCGGCAAGAATGGTTTTCGCATAACTTTTTTGTAAAACAAATATTTTCAAATTTTGGGCCGGGCACGAAAAATGTTTTCGTATAACTTTTTTGTAGTACAAATATTTTCAAAATTTGGAACGGGGCGAGCTATTTGAGTTCATCCTCTTATGTGCTATTGGACATGTGTATATACATTACCTCTTACATATATGTATCACAGATTCCAGACTGAAATTACCTCGATCTTTTTCAATTTTGCTTCATAACTTGCTTTTTTGGTGTTTTCCCAGGACAGCACTTCAGCAAGCTGCTTTTGGGCCCTGCCATGTCGTTCCAATTGATAGGGGTTACTAAAGATGAGTGGAACTAATCACTCGTTAAATTAGTGCTAGCAAAAATAGTAAAGATTAAAAAAGATGTGCATGGCCTACTTGTTCTCTACTTTGCTCTTTTCACTCTCTTCCCATGCCTTAATAAAGGAATCTCTCTTCTCATTCTCGATCTTTGCAAGAGCAATATCTGTAGATTCAATACCGTTAACTTCATAATTGATATTTTTCCAAGCACTTCACTGTGTAAGTCTATAACTCAGAATCAATTTGAGTTTTGTCGTTCACTCATTTTGTGTGTGGATTGTGGAGGAAGAAATAGTGAGTGTTTCTATTAGTTGATATGAGGGTAGGATTGAGTGTGCTAGATTTGTTGAGAAATTGAGTCCCAAATAGGATCTAATCTCACCAAAATGGAACATTTTCCAACCCGCTCCCTAAACATGTTCTCCTTGTTAAATCATCTCACCCAAGTCAAATATATTGACCATTCTTACTACCAAGATACATAGTAATTTTTTAAAGTGAGTCTACACCTTAGTATTTCTCGTAATAGTAAAATATGAAACAATAAAATCTTATATTATTAAGATCTTGATATCTTATGAAACTAGTCTTAAGATATTGTATCACGTCACATTATACTCTAACAGGACTTGCAAAGCCATCTCATACTAATCAAATATAAGAAAGGAACTCCACACATAGATACTTAGACAGATTGAATTCCATATCAATACTTTGATTTTCATCCTAAAAAGCCAAAGGCAGCTGGAGAAGAAGTACAGTTTCATATGTCCATTTGTACGGATAATAGTTGTGATGTTTGTGTGTGATGTATGGTCGGTCGGATTTATCCTATATACGTCACTCGAGATTGCCCCTACTCGTTTAATTACAATCTAGACGTGGGCGATTGCTGCCATTGATGGCACCACAACAACATATGATCCAAATCCTAAAATGTGATGTGTTTTCATTCATGTAATTTTTCTTCACAAAATTAAGGTTACCTCTGTCCAGGGATGGCTTCGGGCCTGTACTCAACGGAGGATGATCAAGATTCTCTGACAATATAAGCAAACAAGATATTGGTTACATTCAAGATTCAACCTTTTGCTATGACCAAAACAGAATCTCCAAAACTTTTTTTCTTTATGAACATTTATTTTATATCAACATTAATTCAAGAGTCATTGAGTTTGATTGGCAATTATTATATAATGATCTATTTCAAAACGCTAACCTAAAACACAGTGTTCCCATTTCGGTCTTCCGTCCAAAAACGCTAGGACCTAATAATTATTTACCAAACAACTAGTTATTTACCAAATAACGCTTTCACTTATTAAAAATATTATTGAAATGCTAAACAGGGTCAGCTATTTATGGCTTTTCCAAACACCTTCATACCCGAAAACAATGGATTGGTATTTGCTAATAATAGTGATGAATATAATTATTGCTCCAATCCAAATTAAACCTTATTTTTACGCAAGAAAGCAAATTTCCCCAAAAGTTAGCTACCAAATTTATCTACCAATCGTGGGCAAGTTAAATTCACAAAACTTGTGCAAACATAGCTAGGTGGTTGAATAGTTAAAAACTTTATATGAGTACTACCTCTACCTCCGGCAGTCATTTCCTTTTGAAGTACGCAATTTTTATACAGAGACAAAGCTAAGAGTATAAGAGTATTTACTGTGAGCGACGGCAACGGGTTTTTCCGGGAGGACCGGCGGGACAACCTCTGTGGCTGGCCCCATCTTATGAGTGGCGGCGGAAGCAAGAGGTGGTTCTTCTGGCTTCAGAGCGGCGGCTGGAGGAGGAGGAACCGCCGGTTTCTCTACCACTACTGCTGGTTCAGCCGCTGTCTCCATATTTTATATATAGCCAAGACGTACAGAAGCAAATTAATTACTATCTATATAAAGCAGCTCAGTAAGACAGCAGGAAGCTAAGCTAGCTGGCTTTGGATGATTAAAGCAATGAAGAATGATTATTCTTAGCTTCTTCTTCCACCTTTAATTTATTCGCTGTTAATTATACAATCAATACTCTACTGTGTGTGTGAATCAAGCTAACTTTTGTAGCAGATGTTCTGCCATTTTCGTAATATAAGTTTCAATTTTTGTTTTCATTTTATCAAATTGAAGCTTCGTATTTATGTCTATGTCGGACTGTTAATGGATCTACGTGGACACGTGGCCAATCACCAAAAGCTACGGACTGCTTACTACGACGGATCCTATGCTACGCTTCTGCCACGCGATTGCAACGCGTGGTTTAACGGCATGTTTGCCGACAGATGATGTACTTTTATCAAATTCGATTATCCATTTGGATAATGATTCTAATTTATAGCATTTCAATATCTACAAATACCGTAGCTCAACTGGTAGCAAGGGAGTGCCACAAGGGTTAGGTCTCAGGTTCGAATACCGGCAACTGCGATGAAGGGTTACTATGCTGAAAAATGCATAGGGCCTCTGCAAGTACCGGGGACAGAGCCCCACTCTCTATCTGTCAGATTGTGATTATAGTCCAATTTACATCCTCCCATCGTGCCGTCCGGTCGGTGGTTGGGGGGCCTCAGGGATGGGGTGTCATCCTTTTTTTCAATATCTACAAATAGGCTCTTTTGAGAGTGTTTTCAATATTTGGAGTACAATTTTGAATTTTCTAGATTTTCACATATGTATAGAGTTCTTTTTTTAATTCTGTTTGAAATTGATTTTATTTCTACTTCTGTTTTAAACTTTAAGCAGAATCAGAACAATTTTCAAACTTGTCTCTCTCAACTTCTAAAATTTTTTGTTCAATATATGTTCTTACTTTTTGAAAGAGCAGAAACAGTTTTATGAAACAGATCCAAACAATCCTTAAATTAACTTAGTGCACTACTTATCAGAATTAAGAAACTTTTGAATGATACGCAAATGGGTTGATAATTGATACGCAATAGGTTGAGACATAAAAACTTATATTTGAAATATACTTTATTAATTATATACATAAATATTATATGAAAATTATTTAAACTAGTTCTCTTTAGTAATTAAAATAACTTAAACAGTCAAGTTTTAGTTATATTAATCATCATATAATTTCAACACGTAAAATTAAAAGTCACTTATTTTGTAAAAAAATGTCCGATAAAGTTGATATGGCAAAACAATATTTACTTTAATGATTTTTTGTCTGAATTGCAAACTAAAACCAAACGTTGTATCATAAAAAAGGAAAAATAATATTAAATAATACAAACTATCTTTCATGGATAAAAAATAGTATATACTTTAGAAATAACTTTTAATAATATCAATTATTTGAATATCATACAATACCAATTTTTCATTGAAAATTTAGTCAAGACCTCCGTCCCTAGCTTTTATATTGGGACGGAAGAGAGTGACACGAGTTTTAAGAAAAGTGGGTTTGTGTGGTACCACTACAAAAAAATGGTGCAATACCGACTGACTTTCCAACGAAATTTGAAGAAATAGTCGTCGGAACTGGAATTTCCAACGAAATACTGACAGAACTTGGCCGTTGGAATACACTGGTTGGAAATTTTTCCAACGACCATTTCCAACCAATTTTATTGTTTTGCGCCAGAGTTCCGACGAATATAGCTGTTGGAAATTTCCAACAGATAATTCTGTTGGAAATAAACAACCAGATTTCTCAAGACCATATCAATGACCAACGAGCTTCCAACAGATAAATTGGTTGGAAATTAAACAAGCCATTTAAAAAATTGATTTCTCAATTTGTATTTCTAGTTCCATGCTAATTTTATTACCATAAAAATTCACCATAAATAAACTGCACATTATTATACCATCCAACTTGAAAATTTCAAAACATACCATAAACACTATTCGTAATTGTCAACAAACACAAAGTGAATGTGGTACAAAAGTTTGACAAATTAAAGACAAGTAGATTGTTCATTACACCACAAATAAATAAAAGCTTATGCTAGAAATTGTTCTTCATTGTCCACCTTCATTTCCTCTTGTTTGTTCGTGTTTCAGCCTTCATGCAAAACACTCTTCAACTAAAATGAACACCTAGAATTGAAATCAATCTTAATACCAGCTTCTTGAACAGAATGATATGTGTAGTTCTGCTGCATAAAACACATAGTCAAAACTAATGTAAAAATCAAACACATATGCCATATATACAAGTATTATATACTCAAATTTACCACAAACATCATAAACCATGACTCACGAACTTCCTTTCGAATATGTCCATGCACTATGTAACTTTCGCTGTCAAGAATGTTTATTCTTTAAAGTGGCATCAATAATCAGAATATTTGTTTAAATTCACCTTAAAAGTATAAGTACCTAGTAGGTTTTTCATTTCTAATTTTTGTCAAACACCATGACCACAAAGCTCTTTGACAAAGAAGGGGAAGCAATAAGAATATCCTCTCACTAATTATATACAAATCACTATTTCACTAATCCCACTACCATTTACAATAAAATGATACGGAGTAATAATATAGCCATCCATTTTAGGATAAACTACAAAATAGTCAAATCTAAAGCATTTGGACACATTTTAGGATAAACTACTCAATTGTAGGCATCAATCGTTGGTTCCATCCTTAAACATTAAATTAGTTCTTCCAAAATCCTATTAAATCAAACCAAGTATCAATCGTTGGTTCCGTGTGTTATAAATGAGTTAAATTAGTTCTTCCAAAATCCTATATAATTAATAAATGAGTTAAATCAAAGAACTAGTTTAGTTAATTAGTACGGCGCTTTGGAAGAATCAATTGCATAAAAATTAAAAACGTCTAGTTTGCATCTGGAGAAGAGAAGATAGAAGAAAGACGGAGATGATAATTTACCTAGAGATTTTGAAGCCTTGATATGCCGTCAGTGTACATGGTTCTTCACTTCGTTGTTGAGCGATAGTTCTCTCCCCCAGCCACTATAGGTTTAAGGGGTATATGTTTTGGGCTTGCATTTATCCAACGGACGAGATTTGTGTTCGCCAGCCAAAAAACCTGCATATCAACTGTGTTTACCAACGGACGGGATTTGCTGGAAATCCGACGAATTGCCAACCGAATTCCAATCACTTTCCTACGGAATTCCAACCAATTCTATCCTGACCAGAGCTCAAAAATTTCCAATGACATTTCGCCAGATTTCCGACGGAGTCCGTTGGAAAGCTAGTTGGAAATCGGTTGGAAATTTCCAACAGATAAAACGGTGGGAAATCGTCCGTAGGTAATGAGGTGTGTTTTTGTAGTGATAAGTAGATATTAATTGATAAAGTAAGAATAAAGTAAAAATAAAGTAAGAATGATTTTGAGCTACACAAACTTTACCAAATAAGGTATGACACAATTAAATAAGGACATCCCAATATGGTAAAACGAGACATTTAAAAGGGGACGGAGGGAGTATTATTTTTTATATACAAATAGTTGGTATTATTAAAAATCATTTTCAAAGTATGTATTTTCATTGATTTATGTGTGTTATTATTTAAAGTTATTTTCCCTGAAAAAATACATTCCAAAAAATCAATGCATTCCACATTCCAAGCGTGGGTGTATGTAATGTCACTCTACGTCTCTACGACGTGTCCAGTATTACATACTATAACCCCTTATGTCATAAGAAGATTGGGTTTAATGCACGATTTGGAAATTCGGCGCATTAGCCCCCTGTGATTTAAAAAATGCTTCAAATCCCCTTGTGTTTTTAATTAACCATGCGCCAAATCCCTTATGTGAACAAATTTAATTGTCAAATAAAAGAAAAATGATTAACATTTTTGTATGATTCAGAGATTTTGACATATTTATTTGCATATTCAATCAAAATATTAGGAAAAGTGATTTTCAAATCATTAAATTTATTCATAAAGGGGGTTTTGTGCATGATTAATTAAAACACAAGGGGGTTTGGCACATTTTTTAAATCATAAGGGGCTAATGTGCCGAATTTCCAAATCACAAGGGAGTTTGGTGCATTAAACCCTAAGAAGATTCTCAATACTTCTGAGAGTAGTAATGTTTGAAGAAGAAATTATTTTAGTTTTCAATTTACAAATATTTTGCAAATTGAATGTCTACTTTTGTCAATTAAACGATACAAATTATTTCAATCTACATCACAAGAAATTTAATACTATCGTATTAATATCAAAAGTATGTGTAATATATGAATATTAGTAGCAATATTACAAAAATATGTAGTATCATATCAAAGTGATGATTGATGAATATTAATTGTCAACTGCGCGTCTGCGCACATGGTAGCAGAATCGGTAAATGTTTTTTGAACCTTGCACGCCTTACTTTCACACGTTTCAATTCAATAAATGAACACATATGGTATAGACACAACATTTTTTTATAAGCTCGAATCAATGTAACAAAGTGATAGTTATAGTGACACTAGGATTTAACATTATTAAAATATGGCATATATAAATACTAAATTGTGGCTAAAACAATTTATAGATATTTAAGATTAATGAAATATGGCATTTCTTTAAATATTTCAATGCTTATCGACGTAAGTGAATTTTACACGAATGTTAACTTTTAGATTAATTTTACATGTATGTTAACATTTTGTTAAATATTATTACGAACTTTAACTATTATTTTAATTTATCAGTGTTTTTTTGTTTATCAAATATGGAGTACATATATTTTGATTTTGCATGCTACATTATATAATAATCAATGTAAGCGAGTTTTAAATTTCACTTAGTGATTGAGTTGACTCAAGCTACTATAGAAGATTATTTTATATTTACTTATTTCCAAGAAAAAAGCAACAATTATGTGAAGCTGATGGGTTCAACTCATTCAACCGGTTTCTAGTAATACTAAAAAAGCACTACATTATCTTGGTTAAAGGTTTTCATTGGAAAATGACACAATTATTTGGATAACAATAAATAAAGTAATTCAAATATAGTTGGTTAAATAATTTTAATGCATATATAAAATAATGAAGTCATTGATGATAATTGTAATTTTATGGATATTTATTTATATTATTTATGATTAAATTGTCCTTTAAGAGTGTTAATTGTTATATAAAATTGTAATGAGAACCTTTTTATTGGATGTACAAAAAAAAGAAG